CCACAGATTACTGAATGCTAAATTTTTAAAGAATAACTTATGTTTCCTTTTTTCCCCTAATGATAAAGACTATATGCTACCCTAAATTTATATTTTATATAATGGTGGAAGAGACACTGTATTTAAGAGCTTTTGCTGGATTAAATCTGGCTTTGGCACTTATTAGCTATGAGATTTTAGAAAGCTTATTTCACTGCCTTGAACCTCAGTTTGCTCATTTTTTAAATAGTCATAAAGATGTCTAGCTGATAAAGTTGTTATGGAGCTCAAATATGCAAGAAATATTTTTTTGGTAGTAAAACACTCTACAAATGTAAACTCTTAAAATATTTATTACTACTGAGCTTATATGAAGTTGAGTCTGTATTTAAGACAGTTGTGGGGAAGACAGCTTCTGAACTACATCCTATCTCCTCTTCTTTATAATATACAGAATACAGGCAGCAAGTTAGAGTTAATTGTGGCTGAAATGTAAAACTATTGAATTAGATTAAATCGCTAATATTGGTTTTACATGAACCACGCACAACTCAAACAGCTTAGCATTAGAATATGACTTTTTAAAACTATCTGAAAATATTTACAATGATAAAAAAATTCTCTAAAATCATATTTCAGAGTAGAAATGACCTGTTCAGAAACTGGATAAAAAAAGATCAAAATATTGATTGCTCAGTTCATAAAACCACAGGCATTTGGGATAGAATTTATTATTTTATATGACTTAAAAAAGTGTAATTTTTTATTGACAATGTCAAGGTATATGCTCTGTGTACTATGATTAGAGTGGTTCAGGTGCTTTTTGCATGTAATTTAATTTTTAATTTTATGTGTGTTAATAGTTCATAGGTAATTTAAATAATTTCTAAAGAGCAACCCAGAATTTCAACTTGATCTCCCTGATTAATCCAGCATCTAGTTACAGTAGTTTGTTCATCTCATAGTAGTGAAAGAAGATGAGACTCTTTGTCTGTGTAATAGAGTCCATTATAATGAAAGTATTTTCAGTGATTATTAATTACATTTCTTTTATTTGTATAATGCTTCATGATTCAAGTTCTTGGAAAATCTCAGGGAAGGAGGTGCTAAAAGCTTAAGTTACAGAAGAAAAAGCTATGGTACAGAGAAATAGGCTAGGGTGCTGCATATCACACGCAAGTAGGTGGAGGAGCTGGGAGCAAACTGTCACTACCTTGGTTGGCCGTGTGTTTCACCTGTCTGGGAGTCATCATTTGGTTTTGCTTTCAGAGGTCAGAAAATCTGTTGCAGGATGAACCACACATCAATAGCCGCTTTTGTTGGATTTCCAAACCTACTGGAGGTGGAACACAGCTCCCTAATTCAAAGCTTCAGTTTTGACAAAGTTATTTAAGAGAAATTCGTTATGAACCGTCCTAAAGACTGTTCTTAATCGACAAATATTTTACAAGCTGTTATATCCATTACCTGTGAAATTCGTTCAGAATTTCATTAATGTAGATTTGCCATTGTTAACTAATTCTTTCTTCCTAAGAAAGCACTTTGGTGTAAATATATTCTCAATTGATACTGATTCCTAGGAAGGCATATGATATATTCCTCTTCTAGAAAAATATTTTCATACTTTCGTGGGCATTACCAGTAGAATACCTTGTAATGTGAGTGTCAGTGTAAGGTTTATTCTGTTTCTTCTTCCTCTTCTGATATGCCTCATTTTTCTTGATTTTCATAGTTACAGTAAATCTATTTCAGTTTTGTTGTTTCTGTCCTGTTTTATCTCTTTTTTGAAGATACATTTTCATTATATTATTTCTCAAAATAATTAATTAATGCTGTTTGTTCCCATTTTATAGTATAATGACCTGGTGCTATACTTAAAATTCAAGTAGGATGAGTTCTAAAATCAAAAGTACTCTTTAAACACCTGTCTCTTGGTACATTTTTACACACTGGATACACACACATACACATATATGTATTTTTGTTATTGTTGTATATTTTCTTCTGCAGACAAGAAGGTATGGGCTCACATCTCTCTTCTCTTGGCTTTCAGCATACTGCTTTCTCTTGCCCCTCCTGACTGATCCCTCTTGAATTTCTGTTTGGGCTCCTCTTCCTCTTTCTTCCTTTAAATGTGCTATTGATTTGTTATGTAGGGCTCTACCGTGGGATTTCTTTAGCTCAGGATTAGTTCATTAGCATTCATGGCTTCCAGTTCAGTCTGTTGGCTGATACTTTTCAGATCTCTTGGTCCAGCCAGACCAGATTTTTTTCATGAGCTTTAGACTTGAATTTTTACATGTCTGTTATCTGTAGGATAACTTTACTGGTTGCCCCACACTCTATTAAATATGTTCCAAATGGGATGATATTGTTGCCTAGGATCTGCTCCTCCTTTGCTGTCCTGGCCTATAATCAGGCACCCTACTGTTGAGAAAGCCATCGGAAGAGGAAGTTGGGGTTCAGCTTTGGCCCCACTAGTCCTTCTACACCTCTCATCCACTAGGTGCCAAATCCATTGAAATTAACCCCCAAAGACTTTTAGGATATGTTTTTATTCTCTTGTATCCCCACTGTCAGTGTCTTCATGTGAATCCTTTTTTTTTTCTCCATTTGAGTTACTGTAATAGGAGAAGAAAGGGAAAACATACCTCTAGGGAATCCTGAGGCACAGTTTCAAATCCCACATACAGAATTTCTTTGAAGTACTAAAATTTTCTTCATAATTTGCATTTCATTCATCAGCATCTCCATTTTTGTCTTAATATAAACACCATAATTTACATTACCTATCTTTGATTGAAATTGTTGCCCCAGGAAGGTAGACTGTATTTGTACTGAGGCTGTGGACACTCCCTGCCATGCCTTGTTAGTGGAGATTACTAATAATCCAGGTTGAGAAGTACAAGGTTAGTATTCCTTTCTTATCTGGATTTATGCAGCATCCCCTTACATTATCTAGTTCCTTCATTTTCACCACCTGCGAATCAGTTCTACACACTGCTACCAATTTGTCCTTGTTAATATACAAAGCTGACTATATTATTTTCCTGCAGTGTTTCCTCCAGGTGAAATACAAGCTCCTTAGTGTGGCTTGCATAGCCTTTTCTAGTCTGGACCCTATCTGTCAAATTTCAGATTTTGTTATGACTCTCCCCTGTTGCTAAAGCTGAAGCTCCAATACTTTGACCACCTGATACAAAGAGCCGACTCACTGGAAAAGACTCTGATGCTGGAAAGTTTGAAAGCAAAAGCAGAAGAGGATGCAGAGGGTTAGAGACGGTAACATTACTGACACAGTAGAAATGAATCTGAGCAAACTCCTCGAAATAGTGAAGGACAGAAGAGCCTGGAATGCTTCAGTCCATGGGGTTGCAAAGTGTTGGACAAGACTTAGTGACTGAACAACATCAGCAGCTCCCCTCTTATCTGGTCCCCTACCACACCCTCATTTCAGTCAGATTTAATGCTTGCCCCATTCACATCTTTGTATATGCTGCTTGTTCTTCCTCTTTCTTTTTCTACCACGGGAAACATTCATCTTTGAATTACTGTTCAGTTGATCAGTTGTGTCCAACTCTTGGCAACCCCTTGGACTGCCGCACACCAGACTTCCCTATCTTTCACTATCTCCCAGAACTTGCTCAAACTCATGTCCATTGAGTCAGTGATCCATCTAAACATCTCATCCTCTGTCGTCCCCTTCTCCTCTTGCCTTCACTCTTTCTCAGCATCAGGTCAATTTTCTAATGAGTCGACTCATTGCATCTGATGGCCAAAGTATTGGAGCGTCAGCTTCAGCATCAGTCCTTGCAATGAATAGTCAGGGTTTATTTACTTTAGGATTGAATTGTTTGATCTCCTTGCATTTCAGGGGACCTTCAAGAGTCTTCTCGAAAACCACAGTTTGAAAGCATTAATTATTTGGCACTCAGCCTTCTTTATGATCCAACTCTCACATCCATACATGACTACCAGAATATTTTGAATACTTAGCATAATTACCAGTGTCACCAGATCAGGTGGAGCGTGTTTTGTCAGGCCTCCTGTGCACGTCCCTCTGTGTCTGTTTGTCATAGCACTTACTTGCTTTATGACGTTTTTGATTATATGCCCTTTTCCCACTGGATTGGAAGATATTTATCTTTGTATCTCTAGTACCTTATGTGTCAGCTGGCACATGGTAGGCACTCAATATATACTAATGAATAAGTGTTTAGATAAATGAAATATCTAAGGTTTCTATTTCTATCTGATCTTAAAACACAATTAAAAATCACGTCTAGTATCCAAATTTGAATGTTGATTGTCATAGACTGTGGTTTTGCTTGACTTTTTTATGTAAGAAAAATTTTAGAACTAGGTATATAGTGAATATATATTTAATCTGCTGAGTTTTATGTGGATAATTAAAATTTATAGATAATTAAAATTTATAGATAATTAAAAATTATCTATAGCTTTGGTAGTTGTGGTGTTTTAGATTAAAAATATGTTAAATACTAAAAAAAAAAAAATCAAGGAAGGTCCAAGTTGAAAGTAATAGGGTTTTTAAATTTGGAATATAATTGCTTTATAATGTTGTATTCGTTTCTGCCATACAGTTAAATGAGTGAGCTATATGTATATATATATCCCCTTCCTCTTGAATCTCCCTCCCACCGTCCTACTCCATCCCACCCCTCTAGGTCATCACAGAGCACTAAGCTAACTAAAGTTCCTGTGTTTTATAACAGGTCCCCATTAGCTCTCTGTTTTACACATGGTAGTATACATGTATCCATCTTAATCTCCCAGTTTGGCCCACCCTCCCCTTCCCCCCGTGTCCACATGTCTGTTCTTTATGTCTGTGCCTCCATTCCTGCCTTAGAAATAGGTTTACCTGTGCCATGTTATAGATTCTATATATATGCATTGATGTATCACATTTGCTTTTCTCTTTCTGACTTGCTTCACACTCTGTATGACAGTCTCTAGGTCCATCCATGTCTCTACAAATGACCCTATTTTGTTCCTTTTAGTGGCTGATTTATATGATACAATGGAATATTATTCAGCCATTGCCAGTAATAGGATTTTGAAAGGTAAAATATATAAAAGCCAATTCTTTGATTAGCATTTACCACATGCCAGTCACTATTGTAAGCATTTATCATATTATCAATATATATGATCTCAGTTAATCTACCTGACTTCGTAGATAAGGAAACAGAGAATTGAAATTTAAGTTGCTGTCATTATGTAAGTTACATAGTCAATATATAGTGGAGTAATAATATGAACAAAGTTATGTCTGATGTCAAAACTATTACTTAATTTTATCAGGCCTTAATATATTCACAAATTCTTAGATAAATTGGTATTCATTCCTGGTGTGTAGCAGTTGTTAGGTGTGGATAATTACATTACATTTTGGCATTTGAGACCACACTCCATGTACTTGGAATGGCAGTTGGATAAACGATATGGTACATGTGTTTAGTCTATCAGTTGTGTCTGACTCTTTGTGACCCCATGGACGGTAGCCTGCCAGGCTCCTCTGTCCATGGGATTTTCCAGGCAAGAATACTGAGGGGGTTACCATTCCCTTCTCCAGGGGATCTTCCCAACCCAGAGATCAAACCCAGGTCTCCTGCATTGCAGGCAGATTCTTTACCATCTGAGCCACCAGGGAAGCCCCAAATGGTATGATATAGTTGAATTAATCTTGGTGAATATGATTCTTTAAGCATTTTTGAGTTGCAGGCTCCTTTGAGTATGTAATGAAAGATATGAAACCTGTGCACACATACACGATAAAATGCACATATGTACAAAGATACTTTTCATAGTCTTGGATTCTTTGAGAAACACAAGCAAGTTTCAAAACTTGGTTTCTAGATAATCTGCCTATTTTGTGGATGAAAAAATTGAGGTTCAAAGTCAACCATGTGTTTCTGAAGTGGTTAACCATGTCTATTCATAAAGAATGTCCTTGGAAAGTTATTGCTTTGTGGAATTTTCTGAATTCCTAGAAAGGTATTCTAATTTCAAGACTCATAGCTCAAAAATATATCAATAGTACTAAACACATTCCAAGTGTATTTAATCTTGGAAATAATTTAATGTTTTCTTATATCATACACATTTCTTGAAAAAAAAGTCATCTGAGGTAAGTGTTTCCTTGTAAGATTTATAAAACCACAGTAGTGATTTAGAGGAAGATAAATAAATTTGCACAGAAATGTATCATTTGAGTAAAGAACAAAATGCATAATTAAAAGATTAATTATATGATAGAAAAACCAATATTTATGATTATGAATTGCTTTTCTACATGTAAAATTAAGTTGTTTGAGCAGTATAGAGCTGTATTATGCTTGCTTGTCAATGTAATAGTTCTGTAAGGAAATGCACTTTTGTGATTCTTCTAATTTCAAAGATGAGAAAATTGAGGTTTAAAATTTAATGACTTGGGCACAGACTTATAGCTAATACCTAAAAAAGTAAAGGTCAGAAGTCCATTAGAAGTCTTTTGAGTCTGAATCAGGCATCTCTCTATTGTTTCACAGACATGCCTGTGGAGAATTATATAGATGAAGAAGCAACTTTCAGCAGCTGAGAGCGTCACCAAGCACATTTGGTGCATGGTCTTTATTTTAAAGTCCGCCACTTGCTTGCTTAAACTTGCATTGTTTCACTTTGCAGAGCTTTGAAGGCCAGGGCATACTTGAGTAATTCAGAATGATTTTTGACTTTCATTTTAGTTTTAATCCATAATCCATGACCTCAACTCTTGCATTGTGTCTCACTCTTTATTTCAGTACTATAGCAAAGATAATTTTGGCTTTAAAGGACACACTTTAACTGCGTTATCTAAATGCATGTTATATTAAAATGTTTTGCGTAAAGTTTTGATAATACAGAACACTTTGGTCTCACAATATAGTTGTAAAATTCACTAGAAATATTACAAATAAAGAGGTTACCAGTACCTATACTAAGGATTTATTTGAATAAAAAGTGTAGAAATGAAATTAAAAATACCTTTGAGAAGGTAACTAATACAATGCAATGAATGTGAGATACATTTACTGGTGATTAACACATTAGTAATACTTCTGAGATTACATCTTTAAAGGGGTCTCCTCCCTTCTACAGAATATGTGTTTATGGTGGCAGCTTTAATGCTATTTCCTGCTGTGCAGTTCAATAGAGTATGTTTTTAGGTGGCTGGTTGAGGGTTTTTTTCGTTATGTATGTCGATGGAGATAAGTGTTTTAATTACTTTTTTAATGTCTGTGCTTTTGTATTTTTCTCCTCTCTTCTCTTTTATTTCCTGCTGTTGAGATTACTGCCTCATCTCCACAGCAGGTGGCTGTTGCAAATTTGTTTTCTTTGTAAGCCTGGTAGATTTATTTTGTAATATAACTGTTCCTTTTAGTATTTTATTATTAATGATTTCTTTACTTTGGAATATAGTATACTACATAGTCCTAAATAGTAATTTTCTAACACCATCTAAGAATTCTAGTCATTAAGGAAAAAACCTTTGCCTGAGGCATGTTCTTTGAATTTTTTTGCTTACCCTTACTTCATGATGTGAGGATTAAAATTTAAGGAAATTGTTTTAGAGCAAAAGCCAAATGAAAATGAGAAGCAGAGAAGAGAGAAGAGAGGAAAATAAATAGAGAAGGCCCAAGAGATAAAACACACTTTAATAAATAATACCAAGAATCAAAGGGATACGTATAATTTTGTGACAGAAATAGAAAATTACATTAATATATCTTTTCTGGAAGAGAGCTTTTAATGAGATCTTATGTTTATATTAAAATTAAATTTTAATTAGTAAAATAAATTTTGCTAATTTTAAGAAAGTTAGATTACAAAAATATAAAGAAAAATATTTCATCTATTTCATCTTTTTTTTTTTTTTTTTTTGTCCAAGATTCTGTCGTTTTGGTTCCTTCATGTGTCCTTTTATATAGAGAGCAATAGATAAGGTAGGTCCTGTCAGGAGAGTGTGTAATTTCCTCGGTCTGTCCTGCCGCAGCAAAAATTTGAAGCGACGGATGGACCCAGTGTTACAGTTCAGTTTTATTTGGGAAGCAAAGGAAAACACATCCTCGAGCCGTGAGGGCGGGCGGACCCAAAAAATGCAAAGAGAAGAGAGCCAGAGGCTCAATCCTGGCTCCTCTTTTTATGTTTTTTTTTTTCCTCCCCCTGAGCCTGCCCTATGTAAATTGGGCTAATCAGAAGGTCCTCACTCTAGTCCTGGGACCTTCCTTTGTTCTATTTTTGTGAGCTTTTCCCTTCTTTGTCTTTTAGCCACTGCCATTCTGGACTCCTTTTTCCTATTCTAACTACCTAACAATCCTAAGTTAGAGAAGGCAATGGCACCCCACTCCAGTATTCTTGCCTGGAAAATCCCATGGACGGAGGAGCCTGGTAGGCTGCAGTCCACGGGGTCGCTAAGAGTCAGAACGACTGAGCGACTTCACTCTCACTTTTCACTCTCATGCATTGGAGAAGGAAATGGCAACCCACTCCAGTGTTCTTGCCTGGAGAATCCCAGGGATGGTGGAGCCTGGTGGGGCTGCCGTTATGGGGTCGCACAGAGTCGGACACGAAAGATGTGACTTAGCAGCAGCAGCAGCAGCAGCAACAATCCTAAGTATAAGCATTATTTATCAGGAAAGTAAAATATACTCAAGGATATTTTATCCATCTTTGAATTCTTAGACATTATTGCATTAATGAAAATAAAGTCTCCCTCTCTCCATTTTTTCCAAATGTATAAAAGAAGTAAAAATCATGAGAGTATAAATGAAATGCATAGTGAGCAGTATTCTCAATTTGTTGTATGAAATTGCTATATATTTTATAACAGGTTAAAAAAATCTTCTAGAAGAATTTTAACTCCTTGGATTCAAGTAGTTTACTTCATATGTGTTGATCTTGTGAATACATGCTTTATTTTATGTATTGTTTGTCACCCATACAAACTCTACATTGGAGCCTGATATTAAGTTTTAATATGAAGTTTTATGTACTGCTATCATTGGTATAATAGAACTTGTAGATACTTTCTACATGAAATCATAAAATCAAAGTGAAATACTTTTGTAATGTTGTAGGAATTATGTTTGTTTACTTTATTCTCTTCTCCAATGTTTTTCTTTCCAACGCTTTTAAAATTTTACTATTTTTATAATGAAATACAAAAAAAGTAAAAAGGTCTTAGTTCAGCCTCTATCCAAAATTATATGAAGAGCCTCTCTTAGTTCCAGATGTCATTATTGTTATATGTCTTTGTACAGAAAAAGAACTTATGAAATGGGAAAAAACATGAGATGATTTCATTCATAACATTTTTTGAAAGTCTTCATCTTGCTATGCTCTAACAAATTATATGATCCATACAATTAATGCTTGTGGTTGGTCACATAGAGAAGGACTAGACTGTGGTTATACAGAACAGATGTTTAATGGGGATTTAAAAATCAGTGAAATGAATACTGTTGTGATGCATGGTGATCTGATTTTATATGTATTATATAGAATCACTCCATTCTTTCTGAATTCAGTCTGAACACTCAGAGCTAAACATATTTACAGTGGAATGTCAGAAAAAAGAAGGGGAGTTTTATTGAGAAAAGAATCACAATAGGGCATCATTGATCTGTTCTCTTTCCAGTCAATATATAGATCCTAGAATGATAACCCTTATGGCACTGTTTTCCCTTGGAAATAAGATATAAATCCTTTAAGCCATATAAATGATTTTTAAGTGACAGTTGAAGAACTTTATAATCCATTGTGAAATTTTGAAATGCTTAGGCCCTTGAAAAGAGTATTTTACTTCCATATTGTAATCTCAACTGTTCAGGCTTGATATGGAAATAGTTTAATTTTTCTAAGTATATAAACATATATATCCACAAATATATGAATTTATGACTCATTCCTACATTTACATATCTACATAAGGCCATTTAAATATCTTTTTATAATTACAATATTTTTTTGTTTGTGAAGATGTGTACTATGAATATTTTATAATGTAAGTCTTTATTATCCATAGTTTTTGTATTTTGAAAGT